TGTCTAATACCAAAATAGGGTGGTATTGTACAGTACAGTACATTGAAAGCTGTAGCATTAACTGCATTTAGGACAAAATTTGGAAACAGGAAGAAAAATGAGGTTTCTAATACTGCAATTTCAAAAATAGTTTAAAATACCAAATTTTGTACTTTCTAGAATCCAGGGAAATAAGGAAGCCTTAAACACCCAATAAATAAGCAAGTGGGACCAATAAAAGGAATGGCATGAATGAGACAATTAGTATAGCATGGTTTATATTGCCTACTTATCCATCATATATTGAGTAATCTCTGATGCACGGAATGCAAAGAAATCCTCAGAGCCCAAACCATAACTCAAGCTGTCTTCTTATGGATTAGAATATGATATTGGAATGGAATCGAAACCAATCAAAGAGAGAAGCAACCTTGAATTAAGGAGACATTTCCTGACAGAATAATTAATCATTGGAGAACCAGAGGTTGTGGGTGCTTCAACATTAGATGTTTTCAAGAAGAGATTGGATAGCCATTTGTCTGAAGTGGTGTAAGGTGTGATTAGATTAGAAGACCTCCAAGATCCCTTCCAACTGTTATTATTTTAGGCTTATATCTTGAATTTTCTTCATATTTGTGTGTCAGAAGGGATAACATATACACTTGAAACTGGAAGAAGTTGCTGCTAGAGACTTTTGCTCACAGTTCAATGTCAAAACAATGCATGCATAACTCATGTGGTTTTAATATCAATAGGTCACTGAGAGCAATTTGATTCTGGTGGGGTGTAAATCTAATAAATAAATAAATGAGTGAATAAATACTTATCTGCTTTTCTCTGCACTTACCTTGAGGTTCCTGATATTATTTATTAGAAAATCGTATGATCCATCCACAGGAATTGTTGCCAGAAGAATATAAAATAGCAGATGTCTCTCCATGATCAAAGACTAAAAAGCACATTAGCAGAAATGCACAAGATCAAGCAGTCACTCTTGCAGTGACTTTGGTAAAACACAAATCAGAAGCTCAGACAAAAAACCAAATATTTGTCAATGTCTGCAAATAAACTGTGAAATCTTGGAAATAGGTCAAAGATTGATCATGTGGGGAAAAGGCAGCCTCTAATCAGGCAAAAATGCTCATCCAGAGCCCTACAAAATGACCTCCAGCGGGCCACAAATGTGCATTTGGCTGCTCAAATGGTCAGAAACAGACTCCATGAGGGTGCTATGAGGGCCCAACATCCACAGGTGGGGGTTGTGCTTACAGCCCAACACGGTGCAGGATGTTTGGCATTTGCCAGAGAACACCAAGATTGGCAAATTCACCACTGGCGCCCTGTACTCTTCACGGATGAAAGCAGGTTCACACTGAGCACATGTGATAGACGTGACAGGGTCTGGAGATGCTGTGGAGAACGTTCTGCTGCCTGCAACATTCTCCAGCATGACCGGTTTGGCAGTGGGCCAGTAATGGTATGGAGTAGCATTTCTTTAGGGGGCCATACAGCCCTCCATGTGCTCACCAGAGGTAGCCTGACTGCCATTAGGTACCAAGATGAGATCCTCAGACTCCTTGTGAGACCATATGCTGGGGCAGTTGGTCCTGGGCTCCTCCTAATGCATGACAATGCTAGACCTCATGTGGCTGGAGTGTGTCAGCAGTTCCTGCAAGATGAAGGCATTGATGCTATGGACTGGCCCGCCCGTTCCCCAGACCTGAATCCAATTGAGCACATCTGGGACATCATGTCTCACTCCATCCACCAATGCCACATTGCACCACAGACTGTCCAGGAGTTGGGGGATGCTTTAGTCCAGGTGTGGGAGGAGATCCCTCTGGAGACCATCCGCCACTTTATCAGGAATTGCAGGGAGGCCCAGGCATTGCAGGGAGGTCATACAGGCATGTGGAGGCCACACACACAACTGAGCCTCATTTTGACTTGTTTTAAGGACATTACATCAAAGTTGGATCAGCCTGTAGTGTTTTTTTCCACTTTAATTTTGAGTGTAACTCCAAATCCAGACCTCCATGGGTTGCTAAATTTAATTTCCATTGATAATTTCTGTGTGATTTTGTAGTCAGCAGATACAACTATGTCATGAACGAAGTATTTAATAAGAACATTTCATTCATTCAGATCTAGGATGTCTTATTTTTGTGTTCCCTTTATTTTGGGGGGCAGTGTATATTGGCGACATAGATTAGAAAGACATGAGAATGTAGTGAAATTGGACTTTGAAAATATATTGTAAAGTTATATAAAGGTAAAAAAAATGGGTAAAATAGAAAATCTTATTATTAAGATCAATTTCTATAGTAGACTTTAATTTTCTTTCTATCATTTTCAAGTAAAAATCTTCTCTTGGCCACTGAAGGGAGATACAAACAAAATTCATTGTCCAAGTTTTCAGAGTTTTGTGTCTATTGAGTCTTGATCAATCTGGTTATTGGTGGGGGTGGGGGGGAAGCAACAGTGGGATTTAAAACCTCCTCTTGCTTATCTCCATAACTAAGCAAGTTCATAGAAACAGAGGTAATTCCACATACTCTTTTTAGGATTTTAATTCTTAACACCAGCCCCTGAAACTTGATGGTAAGAAAGAAATGGAGTCTTCCCTTCCCTCCTTCTCCTCCTGTCCCCCTTCCCCCCGCCTTCTTCTCTTTGTTGGCTGTTTCTGTTGACAGGAAGGAAAATGCATTTGCATGTGCTTTCTTGTGCCTTTACATCAGAGCGGAGGTGGTATTCAGCAGGTTCTGACCGGTTCTAGAGAACCGGTAGCAGAAATTTTGAATAGTTCAGAGAACCAGAAAATACCACCTCTGACTGGCCCTGCCCCCATCTATTCTCTGCCTCCTGAGTCCCAGCTGATTGGCTGGGTCTTCTTTTGTTGCTCTGGAAGGAGAACTGAGCTGGAAAGCAGGCTAATGGGGTGGGGAGGGAATGGGATTTTGTAGTAACCTTCCCCCTGGAATGGTGTGGGAATACAGATTTTATAGTATCCTTTCCCTGCCATGTCCACCAAGCCATGCCCACCAAGCCACACCATGCCCACCATGCCATGCCCACAGAACCGGTAGTAAAAATTTTTGAATCCCATCCCTGCATCAGAGGTGGTATTCAGCAGTTTCTGACCAGTTCTGGAGAACTGCTAGCAGAAATTTTGAGTAGTTCGGAGAACCAGCAAATATCACCTGTGACTGGCCCCACCCCCATCTATTCTCTGCCTCCCGAGTCCCAGCTGATAAGCTGGGTCTTCTTTTGTTGCCCTGCATAGGAGAACAAAGCTGGAAAGCAGGTTAGTGGGGTGGGGAAGGAATGGAGATTTTGCAGTATCCTTCCCCTGCCACACCCACTAAGCCATGCTCACCAAGCCATGCCCCCCGGTAGTAAAAAAAAAACAACCGAATCCCACCACTACTTTATATATACACCCATGAGTGTTCTTAGGTGTTTACATGTGTGAGACTGATTTGAATAGGGAAGGAAATAATTAGTTTTAGAAACAAGGTACATTATTTTATAGGCAATTAATTCTAATTGATAGCTTTACTTCAAGTAAAGCTTTTTGGATTGTCTTGACCATGCCTTTCTTTTGCAATGTAGTTTCTGGTGAATAGACATATTTGTAGGTATGTACTGTATATGTGTAACACATAGTGATGTGTCCATTGGACATATGTGCAGGGATGGAGAATCTCCTGGACTGATTTCAGCCAGAGCTGGCAACCTTAAGGAGACATGGTGAGGAATCCAAACATTACTTCCTTGATGAAGATGCAATTTTAAATTCATGGTTATCTTTCTTTGGCAAGAGAAGTATCTGGGTATATTCCATGATACCAAGAGAAAGGAGAATCATGTAGTACAATAAATTAAAAGTCACACATTTCTGTAAACCTGCTTTTGGCTAGAGCACTTGCAGAAAAACATATGTGATTATGAATTAAAGTACTGCTGTGTCTATCCAGCTGCCCAATAATCCTTGACAATATTAGAACCATAAGGTTACATGGCTATTCTTAAGGAAACTACTTTGATAACAGATAACAGATAATAGATAATCAGAATTGGAAGGGACCTTGTAGATCATCTAGTGACTAGTCCAACCCCCCTCCCCACTCAAGTGGGAGACCCTACACCATTTCTGAGAAATGGCAGTCCAATCTCTTCTTGAAAGTCTCAACTGATGGCGCTCCCACAACTTCTGAGGGCAAGCTGTTCCATTGGTTGATTGTTCTCACTGTCAGAAAGTTTCTCTTTATTTCCAGGTTAAATCTCTCCTTGTTCAGTTTCCGCCCATTTGTGGTCTCTCTCTCTCTCTCTCTCTCTCTCTCTCTCTCTCTCTCTCTCTCTCTCTCTCTCTCTCTCTGTCTCTCTCTCTCTCTCTCTCTCTCTCTCCCCCTCCCTCCCTCCCTCCCTCCTCTGTCTCTCTTGCATGCTTTGTGGGGGAAAGCATTTTAAATTTAAATATAATATAGTATCTATTTTGATAAAACATTTACAAGAAAATGTGCAATTTATTATTGATGGTAAATTGTGAAATTTCATTTTAGATTTTTTTTTGGTAAAATTTAGAAAAGGCAATATATTGTTCTTTTGGAATTATTATTTGTTCAGCAGGATTTTGCATAATAGTCACATGCAAATAATGATGCAGAATCAGTTGCCTAGAAACTCAGTCCAATAGTCCTTTTTTAATTTTTTATTAAACTGGCGAGGTGTCATTATCAGAAACAATTTAACTTTATTGTTAACCCAATAAGGAAATGTAGATTGATTTGTATCACAATAATATATGTTAGTTTGAACTAAATTGAAAAAAGATGTGACTTCTTAGTAAGGACAATTATAGGCTTTCTTTTCCCTTACAAAATAAAATCAGTTATTTGAATTTAGGTTTCCATGAGGTACCAAATTCTATGGAGGGAGCAGTGTTATTCTACAAGTATGGCCATTCACTCTTATGTCCATAATGTAATTAAACTGAAAAACATGTGGATGATTTTATGCTTTCTAATAAAATCATGGTCACTAAGCAGTAACAATCTTTTGCTGTTAAGGGTGTTCTTTAAGGATTTGCATACAGTTTCCAGCAAGTAACTTCAATTTGACTAGATCCAGTTCTGTAGTCCTTCACACGTGTCCTGAAAAACAGAAAAAGAGAAGTGTTAAGTAGTTGCATTATTACTGATAAAATATATATCCAGACATAAACCTTTGGTGGCATTATAGTATTGTCTGATTAGCTTATTTGCTATGGTTATCCTAAAATCGGGTAATCACAGAGGTATCTGAATATTATTCAAGGGGTTCAAATTACATCTGACATACCATGTCTGAGGAGACTTAACAAGAATGATAGTTTATGCCTTTTGTTACTCAGTGTAACTGAGAATAACACACAGTGTAAAATATAGATATAATTCACATACCCCTATCCAAATGATAGAGTGGAACTTATGTAAAATCCCATGCATGGGGGCATGACATAATGTAAAATTTATATCTCTCTACTCTGAGAGCTTAAGGGAAGGTGGACCATCCCAATAGAGCTTCTAAAATCAAGGACTAGATTGCAACAAGAATTGTATGTTATATTCTAACACTTGTGAGAATCCTCTGCCTTTAATTAAGCCTTTTCCACAGCTCCATCCCACTTCTATTCTCAAGTCCATGTTCTCAAGCCAAGTTCTAAAGATCCAGATAATTTTTAGTCTAGAGAAAAAGGCAACAAAAATAACAGAATAATAGGATTGGAAGGGATCTTGGAGGTATCTAGTCCACCCCGCTGCTCAAGTAGGGAACCCCATAACATTACAGACAATCTCTTCTTGAAAACCTCCAGTGATTGAGCACCCACAACTTCTGAAGGCCCCTCTCTTCTCTGTGACCCCCCTCTTCTCTGTGGCAGCCTGTCAAATATTGGAACATTTCTATCATATCTCCCTAGTCTTTCTTTTCATTAAAAAAGACATAATTCTTGCAATCGTTCTTCATATGTTTTAGCCTTCAGTAAAAAATAATTAATCAAGGAAATGCTTTTAGGTTTCTCTCACCTGGTGGCTACATTGTGCTGTCCATGTACCATAACTGTTAGGGAACCATCAAAAGGTCTGTCAAAATTTGTATTAGACAAAAACTGACCTGGGAACACAGACATAAAACCACAATTACATTTTTTAATGTAATAACCTAGACATCCTGGAGGCAGATTACATGCTACTTAAATCTATCATAGTTGAAGTCTATGAAAAGTTTTCCCATTGCTTTTCTTTACGTAGTTATAATCAATGAATCATCCAGCATTTTAACTGCATCTTCTGGGATTATATTTTGACCACAGCAATCAAAAGCTACAATCTAAATTTCAGGCCACTTTCATTGTGCTTTTTCAAATAACTCTTACACTTATCAGTTATGAACATTTCTGGAATTTTGATGCACTATTTTTTTTTAACAAATTTTATTCAGTTTTTCACATAAAAACAAAAATCTCTTTTTAGTGGACAACATATTTCCGGGTTATCACCTTTACATACAAATATGACAGCAATTATACATTATATATGCATACTTAATTCTGTTATTACCTTTTCCATTCCAAATTTTCAGTAAGGAGAGAAACAAACACATTAATTCTAGCCTCTTTCATTAATCTCAGTCAAAACATCTTTTTGTTTCATTTCAATTATTTCAAATATAATCCTTTAATATTTATTTTAAAAGTAAAGATAAACAATATGTGTTTGCATAACAACAACAACAACAACAACAATAATAATGTTACCAATGTCTCTCCTTGCTTTTAATAGTCTATGTTAACTTGTTAATTTAGTTGGTTCTTTAGTCTGTCATATTCCCTTTCCATTACACATTCTTTTTATAAATTCTAGATTAATACAAATTTTAACAGTAAAAAAAAAAAGTATAGGTTTCCCCCCTTTTACTGCTTTGAGTGTGACACCTCAATTATTAAAATATACCTTTATTCCTTCATCTTGACCCCCAATAAACTATTATTTTTAAGAAGTTACAATAATAATCATTACATCTTTTCATTTGGATTCCTCAGCATATTTCCCCCCTTGATTTTTAATATGAGTTATCATTATCTATATTACCCTATTTTCTAAACATTTTTAATTGCAGAAATATTCTTATTATCCCTTGTCCCCCTGCAGAATCCCCTTTTAAATTCATCAACCATTATCTCTGAAAAAACAATTTCTTTTCAACATTTTACTATTTCTGTATTTGTTTATTTCATGCACATATTTCTTACTGCTTCTCCTCCCCCTCCTTTCCCCATATCTTTTCTCATTCCAGTTTATATCCCTCTCTTTCTTCCTCTCCCCTTTTCTGCTGGGTCTTTCTGCCTTTCCTGACTTCACAGGTATTCCCCTTTTGATTGACTTCTTAATTCTCAACTTTTTAACCTTTCTTCTTCCCCCACTACTTTGTAGCGTTCTTTGTGTTCTTTGTCTATTTAAAATGTCTTCTTCTTGAATCGACTCCTCTTCCTCCGAAGCTCTTTCTTCTTGTTCTTCCATCGCCATTTCCATTTTTTCTAACAAAGAGCAAAGTGATTCGCCTCTTTCCTGTAGTAATTCTCTCATATTTTTAAGTTCCATTTTTAATTCCCGAAAAGATATCATCATTACACACTCTTATATTTTATGATCGTTAAAGTCTACACACACACACAAAAAAAAACACTTTTACTTTCCTTCTTTCTTCTTTCAATTTTCTAAAGTTCTCAGTTATTCTAGCCCAGAGTCGATACCAAAAACATCAATCAATCCCACAGTCAGTCTTTCCTTGCTTTTTCCTTTATTCTGGTTCTGCTTTCACTTTCTAAGATTCTTACTTTGTTTCAATATTTCTTTAATGTTATACCCACACAAATTCATTCAGAAACAGGATGCTTTCCATTTTGTTTGAGTTCAAGTTTTTGTGAAAAGGTGGCACTCTTCCATTATACAAAGTCTTCACCTTTTTCCCCTATTTTTTTATTTAGGGTTTTTTAAACCTCAATATTCCAGCACAGTCCAGTCTCCAATTTGTAAACTTTATTATTATTATTATTATTGACAATCATAAGTCCAGCTTTATTTTATGCCTGTTTATTGCCAAAATATTTTAGTCCAATTTATTTAAATCTTTAGTTCCAGCTTCTTCTTTTCCCGGTTCGAAGCCCCGCTTAGCTGTCAAAAATATTTTCTTATTTTTTTTTCTGTCCCTTTGTAATTTCGCTTCTCACTTTTCTTTTCTTAAAAATTCCATGTTACCTTAATCCCGGGGTACTTTTGTTTAGTTGTATCACCCAATTGTCCCGGTTCAGATGTTATCCACCTCTTTCTTCCCTCCTGCACAAAACTTAATCCAGCTAAGTCCTCCTCTTCGGGGTGGCCATTTTAAACCACTGCTGCAGTCATCTTCAGGGGGAAAAAGACCAAGCCCAGGGGGGGAGATGCAGCTCCCCTCAACCTGGCTTGCAGCTTCCCCTTACTCCACCGCCCCTCCAAGGCAGCTTCAGCCCCTAATCGTAATGATCGGGGCTCTCCAATGAAAGAGCACGGACCATAGCTGCAGAGAGATGTGATCTATGATCTGTCTGCGAGGAGGCTCCACCTTCCAGCCAGAATTTTGATGCACTATTGTGCTACTAGTTAATTGTGAAAATACTTTTCCATTCAGAAATCTTCATCCATGGCTAGAGATGTGCCATATATTCTTCTCCAAGGCCATCATAAATCAGTGCAAGCAACAGATTTGGCTTTATCCTCCATGATGCAAGTCTCACATTTAAATGACACAGTCTACCAAGTAGCTTGCAAACAAGTCCTCTAGCTTCGGTGCTGGTATTTAGTTGCAGTTTGGGATAGATTAAGCTGTCCGTCTTGCATTGTTTAAAAGAACCCCTACTACTATTTGAGATGTGAATTCAGAACTTGATATGAAAATGCAAATCTCTCATTAACTCAGAGGCCTGCATGAGATGAGCAAGTGACAAAAGCAGTATTGTATTATCACAATGCGGGCTCCACAACATATATGTATTGTGATATCACATGCATATATGTTATGAATCATGATAACATGATATTGCTTTCATCATTCTGATGAAAGCCTTGAATACATATGCTCAGACTGTGATTGGAAATCAATAAATTAATTTTCTCATTTTAAAAGATTTGGAAGGCTGTTAGTCCCTTATTAGAGAATAAAACCTGCCCAGTTTTTCATAAGAAATTGCCATCGTTTCTGTTATAGGAAATAAGCATGTTTATTTACTCTATTCCAAATTTCAGAGGAATTATATATTTCCTTCCCCTTCCATTTGTTGATTTTTTACCAATTTGAATACAAATAACAAACATTATTTATATTTTTCCATGCAAGAAATATGAAATAGTTCAAATTCCAAAGGTGGGGAAAATGATTAATTGAAAGGAGTACAAAACATGTTTGTTCTCTGCTCAGTTGAGACTAAAATCACAGAGGGCACCAAAGGGTAAATGATTGACGATCAGCAAACAATTGCAGAAGAAGTTGAACATCCAGAGTGTTCAACAAGAATTTGTGTTTTATCCTCCAAACTTCCACACATTCAACACACACCATTTTGTAATCCTGGGAGGCAATTTCCAATAGGCACTAGGATTGGCTCTGATGTATTCCATCAATATCTTTGTTACAAAACAAAGGAAGCCTTAACTTAAATAAATAATGTAAATAGAGACAGAGTTACAAAACCATCAGGTATATTTCTCCAAATGAGAAATGAAAAAGGAAATGATTCAAACCCCTTTTTTCCTCACCTCGAAGATATATATGCTTCTATAGAAGACTATACAGTCTTGGTACTGTATCTATAGAAAGGGGCTTGGAAGGGTTTCATATGGACTCCACTCTGATATGAATATCTCTCAGACTTATCAAAGGCCATTTCCATATGATTAGTTTCCACTCTTCCAATCCTCAGTTTACAAGGTGATTATACTTTTTGCTACTGATTTGGAATGCTGAGAACAAGGTATGAAGCCCACCAGCACCCAAAAGCACTTCCCTATTGAGAAGAAAACCATAAGGCTATCTGCTGTATGTTCGTGAAATCACTAGGAGTCAAATCTGATTCAAGGGCAAATTTATCTTTCTCGTGTTAATGCACCTCAAAGGATTATCACAAAGACTAGCAAGATAACATGGATAAAGTGCTTTGTGGATATTACATATTGAAAAGCCAAATTCAATTCCAAATTGTATTACCGTAGTCTGCAACAGTAGTTAAATACTTACCGAAAAGTCCAGTAACTTGATTAGAAAAATAATCGCTGTTCTCAAAGTACAGTCCAAGCCAACCAAGAGGAGGAGGTATATAGAAAATTTTGGTTACAATGTTGTCTGGTCCTGACAGAAAGAGGCTTTCTCCACTTGTCAGTGTAACATTTAGCCTAAGAGGAAACAAACTATTATTTTCTAATATTCCTTTGACAACTTGTCATGCTGGTGTAGTAATTTAATATCACTTGAATTACTGCTATTGGTGAACACAGTTTTAATAAAACATATTTAAATGAATATTTTCACATTTTTAATTATATATCCCTTATGTATGTACCTGAACTAATTATATAGCATGTTTCAACACCATGGCCTTACAGAAAATAGAAAATGCCAATTCAAGCAACACCTCAAAGGCACCTTAACTGCTGACCCTCCACATAATCTAGTACAACAGAAAGAGAGGGATTTATTTTAAAATTTTCTTCTTCATTTTCAAACCTACATCTCATGCTTTTATTAAGGGGTCTTTTATTACCTTATCTAGATTTGTGGCTGTAGGGAGAAGCCAAATGCTCAACTGTTTTCCCCATCTATTTGATGGATATTTGCCATTAGAGGAAAATCAAATAACCACCAGCCCATATTTTTTTTTAAAAAGAGCAATAAATAATGACTCTATAGAAGGCAACATGAAATAATTACATAGGTAAACCTGATTTAGAAACAATCAAAAATAAATCAGAGTTGTATATGATTTGCCTTTATCAATTTGGAATTGTTTCCAGATACCAGTTTATGATTTCCATTGTCTCCTTCTGATTAATTTCATAGGGGTATCAAACACCATTTACACAAATTTAAATCTAGAAGAACCACAGAAGGAAAATGATAGAGCAGTAAATTCCAAGTACAGCCTTCTGGATATATAGTAGACTTAACCAGGATGTTGTATTAATACTAACAGTATGATCGCAATCTTTGAAAGCTGATAATACATCAGAAGGATCAATACTATTGCTGTGTTTCTGTCTCCATCATGACCATACATCAAATTACCCTACTAAAGGCAAAAATCAAATTGAAAAGAAACTGATAATTAGAATACTGTTAGATATCAGAGAAACCTAAGTCTTTCCAATACCAGATTAAGGACCAAAAAATCAGATACAGAATAACTTTTTCCATATCAACTTGGTTTTAACTAAGTAAATTAAAACCACCATCTCTTTCCAAGGAAGAAGGGACTAAAGATTGCAACTTGGAAGTGTTAATTAGATCAAGCTGATGGTCTAGCCAGTATGGACACCATCTAAACAATGGACCTCAAATCTCCAAATAATTTATCTATATTCTCAAAGTGTAAAAGTTCAAATCTATCGATAACAAGCTGACTAAATGCAGTACTGGCTGCTTTAATATTTAATTCTATGTTAATGAAGATGTGCAAATTAGATTTGAAAAAACCCAATTCAATGTTATTAAAATTGCAGCCTGATAGCCAAGGATTTTCATTTTATGTGTACTGTATCTGGGAGGAAGAAAGAGCACTTTTCAGTCTGACAGATTACACGAAAGAGGCTGTGTTTAAGGATTGTAGAGCTCTATTGTCTATAAAAGAAAACTAAAAATAGCAAATTTACCCTTCAATTGTTAAAGAGTTTCTGTCATTCCACACAAAAGAGTGACTGGAGCTATTACTTTTCAGTGTAATTTGTTTTGTTGACACCTTTATTTCCAGGTTCAGCCTCGGATAAGTTATTTCAAACTCTGCAAAATGGTTGTTTTTGCCAAGCTTGCCAGTCACTTGGATCCCTGGAAGTACGTAAAGGAACATTCAGGAAGCATATTAGCGTTTGCCTAACATTCATTAGTACAGAAATAATTGCCATATAAACACAATGAGTAAAAACTTCTGAATATCACAAGATTGCTGCTTACTTAATCTGATTGCCAATTCAGGTGGCTGCAGTTTGCTACCCTGCTCAATTTATTTAGACTCAAGAGCTAAGATGAGTTTAACCCACTTGGGATTTAGATGGGACGCTGCCACAAAACCCCAAGATTACTGGCTAGACATAGAAGCTTTCTATATCTATGTCTATATCTAGTATGTCCACATCTATCTCCTGGAAGAAAGTATGAGAACATATCCATGAACTTCACCGGCAGTCAAGCTTAATTTGAAGATGGCTTAGTTATACTACACAAATAATTACAACTTCTGTTTTTGTCCAGATAGCCAACCTTTCAGTCAAGCAATCAACCATGCCAATGCTGCTAAATATTTTTTACATCTGTGTAGCAGATATAAGACAAGACAATCGATAAAGAGTTGATAGGAATATCCAACATTTAAAATAAATATCACAAATAATCAGTGAATTTGGGAACTAAGAAAAGTCAGCACACCCACATATACATATTGGAATCTGCAACATGTTACAGTGCATTTGTCTGAAATGAGATGAAAATTACAGTCAAGAAAAACAAGGATCAGAAGAGAAGAATAGTTGGGTTTTTTTAGGCTGTCACAAGGAAAACATCCCCATAGAACTTTGAATATTCAGAGCATACCTTTCTCTGGATCAGATAACAGATTTAAGGGTGTTCGTGGCTGTCCATTAATAGATACACAAGCTAAAAAGTTTTCACTAGGTGGTTGAAAAAGGAAATGGATATATGAAGGCCTAGGAACATCTGGAAAGAAAGTAATTATTAGTATGTATTTTATACTAATTTATGGAGTCATCCAAGATCCCTAATAGCTTAGTTTTATGGCTGATGAAATTCAGGTAATTATAATTAGTGTGAACAGAAGGCTGCAAAAGTTTACAACATAGCTGTTAACAGAGCTGTCAAATTCTTTGTGAGGATATTTTGTTCCATCAAATGTCCAAGCACAGCACCCTAAAAGCAACCTCAGGAGTTTCTATTCAATAACAAAGAAAAATAGCCCATTAATGAGCTGGCATGACCGACTTAGGCTATAGTAACCATATGGCCTTTATTTCAGAAAGCTGTCCTTTAGATTTATTCAGTTTAACCGTTTATTTTCTTGACTTGGCTCTTGCATTGTCCTTTGTAAAGCATATCAACACAAACACTTTTAAATCCTTATGAACTTCTTTCAGATTTGCTCCCTTTTCAGGTTTGCCCTTTTTTCTGATCAAGGAAATATGATCATTATAACTTAAACCTATGTTGCACTTATGGAGTGGAAACATATGAAGAAGAAATAAATTGCAGCCTCAATTGTTTTCCCTCTGATGTTTTGCTGCAATAGATTAAATATACCATTTGTGGTGCTTTAAAAGGACATCCAGAATTGCCTTATTGGTGAGAGGGGTGGTATATAAGTTTAATAAATAATAATAAACTGGTTTTTCCAGTTTGACACTAATATTATTCTTATAACAATAGTGTCTACCTTCTTTCAGATTAACAAAGTCCAGATTCATTGCTTGTTTTTTCACTCACTGTACAGAATGGAGACATCACTTCAACAAAGGGGGAGGAGAGGAAAAAATGATCTCTTTATACAATCTATTATGTGCCTGACCTGTTTTCTTGTACCTCCCCCTACTTCCAGAATGAGGAGATTGGAGATGAAGAGATTGTAAGAGAGTAAGCAACACACAATGGGGAATACATTGGCTGTTTGCATGATATGCTTGGGTTTGCTGGCTTCCCCATTGTGTGCCTGCTTATTCTTTTGTAATCCCTTCCTCTCTAATGAACTGCTTGGGAAAGGCAATTTATTAGCTTGACTTAATGCCAAGGAGTTAAGCCAGCATTTCTCAAACTCAGCAACTTTAAGATGTGTTGACCAAATCCATGCTGGATGGAGAACTCTGGGAATTGAAGTCAACACATCTTAAAGTTTCAGAAATTGAGAAACTACAAGTCAAGATTCAGAGATGGTGGATATTGCAAAATACAGTATTTCTAAATTAGCAGTCAAGTTCAGACATTTGAGCATCACCAGTGCTAAGCTGGTTTCGTTTTGCTTCTTTTTCCTTTCAACTTCCCAGACAATTTTGTATTAGTTCAATTATTATTTATGTAACACCATGTTCTTTCAAAATTTTAATACTAGCATGTCTATTTACTTTACAAAATGATTGAATGTACAGTTTTTTAAAAGGTTGATCAACGTTTTGTAATTTGCCTTAATAAGAATACAAAGCATGTCTGAACTTGGCAAAAGTCTTTATCTGCATAGTAGAACCATTGATATCTTTTGATAATGTATCAATCTATTTTTGCATATGGGTAATCCACTGACACTGACCATGAGTTTGTGACGTTCTGCTAAAAGGTATTAACTTCATTTTCTCTGCTGATTCTGAGATAGGACGACCTGCAAAAATTTACATTTTAGTGAAGCTCACTAGTTTTTCTCTTTTACTTTGATCTGATATATAGAATAGCGTTTCATTATCAAAAACAAGAATTATATTTATTTCTTACCCAAATCTCAAGATAAGAAGAAAAGATAAGAAGCCCCCTCACCTGCCACAAATACATTTACACACAGACACACGCAGATATAATATATGAATACTATTAATAAGTGTGTGTTTCCCACAAATTTGCATGGATACACATAGAAATTAAGGCATGGTAATCCTTGCTCACTGACTTCCTTGTTCAGTAACCATTGGGAGTTATAGTAGTGCTAAAAAATAATATTATAAACAATCTCCACATTAAAAACTTTTGCAGCATCCCCCAGTCACAGGATCATCATTATAATCAGTATGTGTCGCCCTGTGCCTCATCTATGTTTTTTCCTCCATGGCAGAATAGAGAGATTGGAGAGGATAGAATTATAAGAGACTAATCAGGCACACAATGGGGAATACACAGTGAGAGCATATGCACACTTGGCCAGTAAAGAATTCATTCATTCATTCATTCATTCATTCATTCATTCATTCATTCATTCATTCATTCTCAATAAAAGCAATGCGTTCTTTGCTAAATTGTGTGCTTGCTTACTCTCTTGTAAAGATAATCCTTGACTTATGATCATAATTAAACTCACGATTTTGGTCATAAGTTGTGATGGTGTTAAGCAGATCACCAGATGTCCATACCCAATTTTATGGCAGTCATTAAGCAAATGCTGCGGTCGTAAAACTAATCCTATGTTTGTTAAACAAACCTATTGTTTGGTATGGGGCGTATTTTTGCTGGAAACTGAAAGTAAATGCCAGTTTCTGGCAAAAACATCATAAATCGCAATCACATGACCACAAGGTGCTGCAAACAGTTGTAAAGGTAGGCTAGTTGCCAAGCACCCAAAATTCAATCACTTGACCAAGGGGGACAGCCATCATAACTTTGAATATGAGTCATAAGGCTACCTGTAATCTCTTCTACTGCAATATCCCTGCTCTGACAGGGACAAGTAACAGATCAAGCACAGGAGAGATTGCCTAGAGAAATTGCAGGGCAGAGGGAAGGATTGCAAGAAAACAAGCAGGCATACAATGGGGAATACATTGGATTGTTTTCATAGCATGCTCATAACTCCCAGGCCTGAGAGATACTACATTTCTTTTGATATGTATTTCCCATTGTGTGCCAAATTACTCCCTTGTATTCCCTTCCTTTCCAATGAATTAAATACAAATATGTATTGCTAATTATCTCAGTACCCAACTGGGGTGAGATTCCAAAGGGAAGGAGAGTGGAGAAAAGGAACGCATAGTCACAACCAATTGGGTGTAGGAATCCAGAACAGAATCAAAGGCAGAGTGGAATCAGGCTGTGTCAATGATACTCCAGCCAAAACATTCAGATGATCATCAGAGGGCAGAAAAGATTTAGAATTTTCTGAACCCCTTCTGTGTCACCTAGGGATCAAACTGATTAATGTATTGAGACTGACTACCTGTTTATTCACTGCCAAGTCCTGTCTGTTCTAGCATAAGATATTATGCCACCCAAAGCAAATGCTTAGGCTCTTCTCAAGGTACATACTGGGCCTGCATCAGACAGCAACTAGATTTTATTTTAATGATTGGGGACACTCCAATTGAATGAAGGCACTCTGTGACTACTCAGTAGCTATTTACCTGTTATAAAGAAATACTGTAGTCTATGAAATACATGCATTGGCCATGTTGAAGGCAGGCATGGTTATTCAAAGTTGTTTCACAGGAAAGGACAAAAACAATGACTTTAGAAGCAAGAAGCAGATTTCAGATGGACTTTCCTAATGGTAAGGATTGTTCAATAATAGAACAAAAAGCCAAGTAGACCCTGAATTCTCCTTGCTGGAAACATTGAAAGAGAGGTTTTATAGCCATGGGTTAAGCCAGAGGTCCCCAAACTTGGCAACTTTAAGACTTGTGCACTTCAACTTCCAGAATTCTGGGAGTTGAAGTCCACAAGTCTTAAAGTTGCCAAGTTTGGAGGTTTCTGGGTTAAGCCATGTGATCTTTGGGTTAAGCCATCCTGGGCAGATGTCAGGCATGAAGAATTGGGAGATAGTCCTTGACTTACAACCATTTGCTTAGCAACTGTTCAAAGTTATAGTTGTGTTGAAACGTGTGGTTTAAGATTGGTCTTCACACTTATGACCATTGCAGAATCCCATGCAGTTGTGGGCTCAAAATTCAGGTGCTTGGCAACCAGCATGATGGTTGCAGTATCCTGAGGTCAAATGATTGCCATTTGCAACCTCTTCAATGGGCTTCCAACAAGCAAAGTTAGTGTAGGAAACTGGATTCACTTAACACCCATGGTGGTTTGCTTAACAACTGTGGCAAAATAGGCCACAAAATTGGGTACAATTCCTTAATGACTGCCTCACTTAGCAACATAACTTCTGACACTAATTGTGGCTTTATGTTGAGGACTACCTGCATAGTTTTAATTGATTGTAGTAACAGGACTTGGTTGGTACAACTAAGGAAAGATGTGTAGATCTTTGATACCTGACTCATGGAGGTGGATTAGGTTAGTTTAAATCAGATTTAAACCCAAGTGACTTGGAGTCAGAGTTTCTCAAACAATTCTACTTTGCATAAAAAAGTTTGGAGTTGAGGTGAGTGGCTGGGAGGCCAGATGAGCAGCCAGATGAGATGAGGGGCTGCATGAGGTGAGGCCCCTTTGAAGTGAATGATGTTGAATTGGCCACACCCACCCAGTCACATGACCACTCAGCCACACCTACTCAGCTGGTCATTAGGGCAGAGAACCGTTGTGAAATTATTTGAATCCCACTACTGAATATGTTCCAGTTAAGATGATTTATTGCTCATGCCTATACACAAGATTCTAGTTAACTAGTGAACAACACTAAACTGGTACTAGATAAGAGTTAATGGAATTCAAGGGGCAGGGCGGACTTGATTCTCTTGTGGGAACATAATGATTCCAGACTGGTTCCTCTCTTGAATCCAACCCCCTAGGCTCTGCCTCTTCTTCGCCTACATCAGGAGGCTAGAAGATCCTTCACAAGCCTTCCATTCTATCATTGTATGCTCATGTATCAGAAGTATTGTCTAAAAATGATTATGTGACAGAGGAAAATGAAATTATTTAAATGCTTGGAAGTTGTAGAAACTGGAACAATTGTTTATTTATTAAATTTATATGCCATCCTTCTTGCCAATCAGGTTCCCAAATGAAAGGCTATATCTATAATGTGGCCTACAGCATAATACACATTACCAACACATGCACATTTGTAACATATAAAAATAATATTTATAGGATACTTTCGTGTCACTATTGTTTCATTTGTTACAAAAAAAAGTAACTTGTGTTGAAAAACCAAAGCTTTGCATTTTATTTTGGACCTTTCAAAACATACATTAAGAAAAGGGTAGATTTCTTACTGGAATAACTTTTTGGATTTTATTACAGGAGAGGATGACACGGAAAGCCCATTTCTCAATACTACAGGCAATAGCGTGATCAAACTAACAGATCTTTGTTAGACTTAAGATGACAAAATACCTGGGAGAGCAGCTGAAGGCATCAGAGATAAATCAGGAGTAAGCATGGCACTTACACCAGCCAACCTTGGTGGACCTATGAAAGAAGTTAAGTGGGTTTTATGATGGAAAAAATTGTCAGAAATAAATACTGGCACTATATTTCTAGAATATAAAACATACCATAGGATTGACCTCTAAGAAAAACTTGCCTTCCACCAAATCGTCCCAAATCTTCCTGAAAATCCTCATTATCTGGGCAAAGAAACAATGACAGAAATAATATTAAATTTATTAAAAAGGAGCTTCCATCATTTTCTAGATTCTTAACTCTCAGAACTGTCCCCTTGGGCTAAGAAAGAGAATGTGCTCACCCATCTCTGAGGTGATTTATGTTGAAAGATTACAAATAGACCTGTCAGAACTTAGATCCTCCTGCTTTAATGGGAAACTCATTATTATTCTATTTATTTATTTATTTTGTATCCCACTTTTATTATTTTTACAAATAATTCAAGGTGGTGAACATATCCAACACACCTTCCTCCTCCTATTTTTCCCACAGCAACAACCCTGTGAGGTGGGTTGGCTGAGAGAGAATGATTGGCACAAGTTCATCTAGCTGGCTTTCATGGCTAAAGCGGAACTTGAACTCACAATCTCCTGCTTTCTAGCCTAATTACCAGACCAAACTGAATCCCATCATCTTACTAGTTCACCAAAATCATTTGCAATCTAATTCAGAATTCTGAATCACCAAATTCCATCAAGAGACTTCATAACACTATGAGCTACAATCACAATCACAACATATAATCTTTTCCTATATTATTTATAGATCATAGCCTAAGAATTTAGGAATAACTATAGTAGCAAGACATGCAATGAAAATAACAAATCGTTAAGCTATAATATTCTGGTTTCCATTGTATTGTTTAGTCCTATTTTATATATATATAAAAAGACAACATACTTAGTTTAAAAAGAGAGTGGCTAGAACACAATTCAGTTTTATATTGAAATAATCTAATATGTGAATCAATATTAAGGGGAAAAGTACATTTACTTCTACATGCTTACAGTATGCTTTTAGAAAATCTAAAGAAAATGCAATTTATACGTACTAAAACTGTACTACAGAAAATAGCTTGATATATTAATGGTTATATTATTGACTAAACAAGGAATAGGATTAGTTTTTTAAAAAAAAATGTTGCTAAAATGCTCAAAGAAAATAAAAAAAATGCTAAAAAAATCTCAGGCCTGTTTCATGGTAATAGCAATAGCACTTAGACTTATATACTGCTTTATAGTGCTTTACAGCCCTCTCTAAGTGGTTTACAGAGTCAGCATATTGTCCCCAACAATCTGGGTCCTCATTTTACCCGCCTCGGAAGGATGAGTCAACCTTGAGCCCGATGGGATTTGAACTGTCAAACTGTAGGCAGCTGCCTGCAGAAGTAGCTTGCAGTACTGCACTCTAACCACTGTGCCACAGAGGCTCTGTGTAATCAATGAACACTTGAAAAATATATTATATTCAGAGTGAACATCAATGATACCATCCATACCTATGCTCTCACAGACCATAGTTAGCATGATTATTGCTTTTCTTTCAGAATCGTAAATTCATCCTGGCAGCACTTACAGATATACTCAGAAACAGGTTTCTCCAACCTTGGCAACTTTAAGCCTGGCGGACTTCAACTCCCTTTGGGAGTTGAAGTCCTCCAGGCTTAAAGTTGCCAAGGTTGAAGAAACTTGCTCAGAAACATTGTCCCAGTTATTCTTCCAGCAGCTGATTGAAATTCAGAAGACCATGGAATGGCCAGCTATCTGTTATAAGAAATAGGTGGGTTTTTACCTTTTTCTGTTGGCTTGTTAGCTACCTCTTCAGCTTCTGGCTTGGTGACCACCATGGAAGTCATGGGTGTTACAAAGCTGTACTTCAGGGAAAGGTTTAATGTTTGGTTTTCCAGTTTTTTTCTCTCTGCTCCTTCCACCAAAATGCTAAAACACAGAGCATAATTTCCACTGATTCTTTATGTGACACAGGATTTTTTTAAATATAAAATTAGCATGCTTTAAGATGTGGTTTGGAATTTTCATATTCTTTCATTGAGACACAAAGTGAAACCCACTGAAGGACAGGATAGACTGATCCGTGCAGCAAAAAGAAGCTACTCTGAAAAGTTAAGGAATCAGTTCTCTACAAAATGAACCAGCAAACATGTGGAAAACTTTTAAAAATATCACTGGTTATAGCAAACCTTATTCCCAGGCTGAAGGAAATCAACAACTGGCAGATGACCTGAATGTGTTTTACTGCAGGTTTGAAAGGAAACTACAACCACCTATCTCCACAACCCCCATCTCAAACACGCCAACAGCCAAGCCTCCTACAACTGACCCCATCTCAGACACACCAACAATAGCCAAACCTCCAATAACTGACCCCATCCCATTGGGTTCACAACCCCTGGTGATCACAGAAAAGGAAGTGCAAGATCTGTTTCACAGACAAAAGCCAGGAAAAGCACCAGGCCCAGACAAGATAACTCCTTCTTGCTTCAAAGTCTGTGCTGACCAATTGGCCCCCATCTTCACCGGAATCTTCGATAAATCACTAGAGATGTTCTATGTTTCTTCTTGCTTCAAATGCTCTACTATCATCCCAGTGCCAAAGAAGCCCTCCATCAAGGAACTGAATGACTACAGACCAGTTGCTCTAACTTCAGTAGTTATGAAAACCTTTGACAGGCTAGTGCTGTCCCACCTGAAAACCATCACAGATACACTGTTAGACACCCTGAAATTTGCATACCAAGCAAATAGATCAATAGATGATGCTGTTAATATGGCTCTGCACTACATCCTACAACACCTTGAATCTTAAAATACCTACACAAAGATCCTCTTTGTAGACTTTAGTTCAGCATTCAATGCCATCATTCCAGACATTCTTCTAACTAAACTAAACCAGCTAGCAGTACCTGAACATACTTGTTAGTGGATCATAAGCTTCCTAATGGATAGGAAGCATCAGGTGAAGCTAAGCAGAATCAAATCTGATACTCGTACATAGCACAGGGCCCACCCAAGGCTGTGTGCTTTCTCTACTTTTCTTCTCTCTATATACCAATGATTACATCTCAAATGGTCCACAACAGTAAATCTGCATACAGATGGGAGGTTGAACAACTAGCCTTGTAGTGTGACCAGAACAATCTGGAACTGAACACACTCAAAACCATAGAAATGGTGGTAGACTTTAGGAGAAACCCTCCCATACTACCACCTCTTACACTATTAGACAACACAGTATCAACAGTAGAGACCTTCAAACTTCTAAGTTCTCAAGACCTAAAATGGACACCTAACATCAAAAACGTCATCAATAAAGCACAACAAAAATGTTCTTTCTATGCCAACTCAGAAAGCTCAAACTGCCCAAGGAGCTGCTGATACAGTTCTACAGAGGAATTATTGAGTCTGTCATCTGCACCACTATACTGTTGATTTGGTTCTGCAACCCAGCAAGACAGACACAGATTTCAGAGGATAATTAAAACTGTGGAAAAAACAATTACTATCAGCCTGCCTTCCACTGAGGACCTGTATACGGCACGAGTCAAAAAGAGGCTGTGAAAATATTTACAGAGCCCTGGATATAAATTGTTTCAATTCCTACCCTCAAAACAACACTATAGAGCACTGCAGATCAGAACTAGACACAAGAACAGTTTTTTCCTGAACGCCATCACTCTGCTAAACAAATAATTCCCTCAACACTGTCAAATTATTTATTACATCTGCATTGCTATTATATTAATCTTCTCATCATTCCTATCACCCATCTCCTCCCACTTATGACTGTATGACTGTAACTTTGTTGCTTGTATCCTTACGATTTATATTGATTGTTTTCTAGTATGATTTAATTGCTTATTTGTACACTATGACTATCATTAAGTGTTGTGCCTTATGATTCTTGACAATTGTATTTTTTTTATGTACACTGAGAGCATATGCACCAAAGACAAATTCCTTGTGTGTCCAATCACACTTGGCCAATAAAGAATTCTATTCTATTCTGTTCTGTTCTAGGAATGAACCAAGAATGAACAACAGAACTGAAAATAGTGCGTGCCAGCAACTAATAGAAGAAAAACACTGTGCCTTTGTGAACTCAAGTACTAACTACCTGAGTTAGTTATAATATTTAGAAGAAAGTATTTTCTTTAAGTTACCATTCCCCAAAATATACAAAGATAGCCACTTACACCTTTTCTAATAGCTGTTGAATGGTTAAATAGGCCCATAATTTTTCGATGAAATTTCCAAATATGTATTCCTGGTGTTTAAAAATTTGTGCTTTCTCTGTGACATTAGCGTTTTCTTTCAGGGTCAAATTGCTTCCATGCTGAAAAACGGGGGAAGAGATCAGGGTGAATTTTTGATATAATACTCAATCAAGTTCTATTCTGCAGAACATAATTTGAAAGGAGGGCTCCTTTCAGTTTACTCCCTTTAAGAAAGCAAAAATTATAAACATTAAAATAGTGAACTGGATGGTCAAAATATTGAATTCATTGGGCACATTTGCACAGCACAATGAAGGCAAATCTGGTTTAACCTTCAAATGATTCTAACAGCTGTTACACTTGTTGAGCTACAATCCTTCCATTCATGATTTAAAATTTTTTTATCAGGCAATATTTAGCGCAGCATCTTCACCTGTGTCTTCTGTACATACACATATACTCCATTTTGTATTTTTAAAACAAGGTAACACACTGTTACTAATTTTCAGAACTTAGTTTGGAAACATAGCTCAGAATTTCATCTGAAATAAAACTCTTGTACCTTTTCAACTGATAGTAGTTACATAGTACTTACCCCCTGAGCATTTATTTCCAAGGAAAATATATCAATTTCATTGTCAAGTTTTCCAGCCACTACAATTTCAGAACCCTCATAGAGCAACTTAAAGTTATTTTCAGTGACATCTTGTACAGCATTGCCAAGATAATTTATATTAATCTCCTTCAGGATGGGAATAGCCACTTCACTGTAAAAGTCCTTAAATGAAGAAAACAAGAAGCAGGGGGAATCATTGCATATTTCAATCAGGAAAATTAAGATTATTTTTAGCATGCTACTGATGTACGTCAAAAGATACCGATAAGCTTTGAACATCAGTCCTTACCTGGAGCTGAAGGGTTGCATCTGAGTCCTCATATATACGTCGAGCAACTCCTGAATTATCTAAGGCCAACTTCTCCAGAAAACTATAGCTTACATCAAATCCAAAGCCAAGGCAGTAGAGGAAATACTTCCCTTGATTGGCTTCATTTATGTTTTTCTGTATTTTCTTAGGGTCTGTTTCACCTGTTATATGGATGAATGGGCACAAATATTGCATTACTTTGTTTTAAATTATTTATTGCCTCTGCTGGCTTTTCTACTTTATCAGCATTAGCTGTCTTGAGTGCCATTTTCTGCTGAAAAGACATGATGTGAACATGGTATGAATATACATGGCAGTGTACCTCATGAAGTAGCTTGCTCAGATGTGTCACTGAACTAAGAGAAAGAGTGAATGCAGGGTGGAGGGTGGAGCTGGCGTCGCAGCAGTACAGCGTGCAATCTTTAAGCTCTAAGATCGCTGCTGATATCTCCATTGCAGGACGGTCCCAACAGACCTAAAACGTCCCGTAGAGATGGTGACAGAGGAGGGCACATCCTGTTGATCCCAGGGACATCACAAATCCCTGGTAGATCCAGGAGAAGCCCCTTTTTTCCCGCAGCAGAGAGGCAGCCATTAAAGCTGCTGAAGCTGGGATAGCTCCGGAACGGAAGAAAGCTGGAAAGAGAGAGTATCAGTTTGGTGAGATAATTTTCTACTTATTTTTTCTGGAGAGAACACCCTAAAAGACTAAAAATTAAATTTAAAAGTGAAGATAAAAGTGCTCAAGTGGCGAGATTAAGCACAAATTAAACCTGAAGGTTTTTCCTTTCTTTTTATTGGAACTTTGGATTTTGTAAAAACTTTTCAATTTTTAAACTGGACTGGTCTTTCCTTTTTAATTTTAATTTTTCCCTTTCAAAATAACTCTTTGGAAAAGTTTTTTTTCCTCTTGTTTTTTCTCTTTAATAATTTTAGATTCTTTTTATTTATTTTTTATTCCTGGTTTTAATATTAGAGGGGAAGGGAAAGGAAAGGGGAGGCTTGGATACATTGTTTTCCTTTCTTTCTTTCTTGTTGATACATTTGGTGTTACATTCAAGGACTCTGTGCTTTTCATTGAAAAGATAGTGGGAAGAGCATGTAGATTGTTTGCAGGTGCTCTTCTGTGGAACTACTGATAGCTGGAGTCTGGATTTGAAATTGAAGAAAGAAGATTGAAGTGACCTTGAAAAGAGAACTGGAAATTTTGTTTTTTGATTTAGTAAAGAGCCTCGAACATTTAGTGGCAGTGCTTTGCTTACTGACAGAATTGCATTTTCTCTTTCCTTTTTTTTCTATTCCCCCCCCCCCCCCCCGTTGGATTTTTATATTTGGACTTGAGTCCTTTGATGCAAGAATAAAATTGCTTCTTTTTTCCCTCCCTCCTCCCTTTGTTTTACCTTTTTAGCAACGGGAATATACAGATTTCTGTCTTCTTAAATTTTTTCCTATTTTTTTTTCATCCTTTTTCCATTTTCCATTTTTTCCTTTTTTTCTACATAATTGGAACCAATTGGATTAAGGTATTCAAGTGCCTGAAGATTTTTTCCCTTCCCTTCCCTTTTTTTATTTTTATTTTTTTACTGGAGTGGCAGTTGGCTGATCTTGCTTTTTCTTCTCAATTTTTCTATTAAGTACTCTAAGATGAGCAGAAAGGTACCAGCCTCAGCTTCTTCAATCTTGACTTCTTCCTCCTCACCATCTGGAGGACAACGATCAATACGGGTAATGTTACAACAAGAGAAGGAGAAAGACGTGACACTGCAGATGATTATGCAAGGTATTCAAAAGGTACAAGTAAAAATGGATAATATTAAAAAGAGAACGGAGAATATTGAGCAAAGAACTGAAAAGACAGATGAGAAAATTTAAAATATTCAACAGATGATGATTCAATACGAGGACAGAATCAAGAAAATTGAAGAATAAGATGTACAAAGAGATAAGAAGATTGGAGATATGGATACCCGATTGAGTGAAGTGGAAAGAGACAAGGGCAGATCTCTGCAATCATTGGGATGGGAAATTGATAGATCAGAATTCTATCTTAGATTTCAAAATATAGAAGAAAAGGGTGAAAACCTTGCTGAAATGATGACAGAAATCCTGGCAGAAGCATTAGAGGTAACTAAAGAGAAGATGATGGATGGATGGAATGGACGAGGTGTTTTGTGTCTATACAAGATATGCAATGAGAAATAAACTGCCAAGAGAAGTTTATATCAGATTTACTAAGAAAATAATTAAATCACAAATACTGCAGGTGGCAAGAGAAAAAACACTAAAGTACAAAGATAAAGAAATAGTGGTACTGAAACGGGTACCGAGAAGAGTGAGAGAGATAAGAAGAGAATATTTATTCTTGACCAAAGAGTTTCTTAAGAGAGGAATAAATTAGAGATGGCTGATACCAGAAGGTCTCATGTTTACCTGGCAGGAACAAAGACACAGAATTGATACAGTTGAAAAAGCTGAGTTATTCTATCTGGAATATTTCAGAGGAAGGGAGGACTGAATTTCATGAGGAATGTACAGCAGTAATTGAAAAAGAAGAAGGAGCCATAGGTGGTATACCCAGAGAGCAACGAGAACCAAGATCTACTAGAGCAACAAATCCTTCTTATAAAGTCTAAAATGGATGAAAGAAAACTGATTACGATTAATATAAATGGACTTAATTCAGCTATTAAAAGAAGAAAAATATTTCACAAGTTAGAGAAATTAAAATTTGATATAATCTGCCTACAAGAAGTACATATTAAAAAACAACATGATTATATATTGAAACAGCAAAACTTAGGGAAATTATTTACAGCATTGACACAGTGTAAAAAGAGAGGAGTGGTGTTATACATTAGAGATACAATCCCTGCAGACCAAATATATACAGATGATGATGGAAGGATTTTGATGGTAGAGATAATGGACAATAATCTAAAGATATTTTTAATAGCAATTTATGCCCCAAATGATAATCAAGATTATTACAGGAAATAGGAGCTTCCGGTTTGAGCTTCTTTGGTGACAGACCGAAACCTCATCTCTCCGAGGCTTTGATCTGTGCTCACCGCTGGAGTGCCCTGAGCCAGCTGGTTTCAGGGCTAAGCCACCCCATAGAGGCGGTGAAGAGGGGGGAGACTGCCTGCAGGGTTGACGAGAGCCTCATCTCTCCTCCCCAACTGGCCATTACTCCCTTTCCCGAAGGCGGTTGTAGCGGTGGTCAGAAATGGCCACCACAAAGAAGAACTCGACCGGAAAATAATGTGCAGGAGGAAGATAAGAAGAGAAAGTTTTGGTTGACTGGGTCAAACAGCAAAAGCAACAGATAAAGTACCCTGGAATTTAAACTTAACAACATTGTTCCCAAAGAAGATTTTGAAGCTGTGAAGGAGAGAGAGAAGGGAAAGGATTAGGGTTTTTTTCTTCCCTTCTTTATACTGACAGCTAAGAGACTTAAGCAAGAAACTGAAAAAAAAAATCCACTCTGACATTAATAGGCATCTAAGCTGAAAATAAAAGTCAAAGGGATAATAAAGATTTCTGGACATTTAAAAGTTTTTAAAAGCTGGAAAGGAGGGGGAAAAAAGAATAGAAGGGCAGGATCTGGAAAAATGGAGGAGACTGCCTGGAATTAAGGAATGGAACTGTAATTAAAAGGAACTTACAGTGAAATTTTAACAATTTTAACAAGATTTCTCAAAGATACATTTTAATGGAAACTTGGTAACAAAATAATAGAACCCCAGGAAGAGAAAGTGGAAAAAAGAAGCAAGTAGAAGTAGAAACAGCCTTGGATTATTTGGATTACTTGGTGATTTTTGGTTTTTTGCATCTAGATTACTAAAATTAACCGTGTGGTTGTTTAAAAGTTTTTAAAATGGTATCACTCTTAAAAGAACTGAAAATGGAACTTTAAAAATGGAAAGAAGATGCACAAGAAGGGAGAAGTTCTTTTAGCTTCATGTTTCAATTCTTAGAAATGGAGATCTGGAACTATGAGAAGCAACAAGCAACGCTTGCAGAACAAGAAGATTGGGACAAAGAAGAAGCCATCTTTAATTATCAAATAATTTTAAGTGGGGGGGGGAAGAAAAGGGGGGAAAGAGAATGAGAGGTTTAAGATTAGAAAAAACAACCAAAAAGAAGAACACTTTGAAAGATAAGTATAATATTAGAAAGCAACAGAAGAGGGGATTACAGATGAAAGAGTTATCAATCTATATCAATCTATTAACTTTTATTGTAAGGCTTACTAATCTATTTCTTTACCATGTCTTTTTATCTAACCATTGATAAAATAAATCCCATATCATATAAAATTGTAAAATCTCTAATTTCAAATGTCAATCTACTCATTTCAGCACATTCCAAGATTCTCTTAATGATTTCCTCCTGTGATTGTATTTTCTCATTTTTCCAGTTTTTGGCAAATACAATCCTAGCCGCTGTTAATACATTTACAATCAGATATTTCAAGTCTTTACTATATATTTCAGGTAAAATTCCCAATAAAAAATCTCTGGTTTCAAGTCTATATGTTTTTTTGTCATTTTTTCCAACCACATGTGGATTTTAGTCCAGTATTTTTTAGCAGCCTCACAAGTCCACCACAAATGGTAATATGAGCCAGGTGTCTGATGACATTTCCAACATTTTTCAGATTTATTCTTGAACATTCTTGCTATTCTTGTCGGGGGGAAATGCCACCTGTAAAATATCTTATACAAATTTTGTTTATATGCTGTTGACATTGTCGTTTTATAATTTTGAGACCACAATTTTTGCCATTTCTCTAAATCAATCGCATATCCAAAATTCTTCCCCCAAGCAATCATAGTTTCTTTAATTTGTTCTTCTTCTAATTTAATTTCTAATAAATATCCATACATTTTTTTAAATCACCCTTTCATCAGTACCTGTCAAAATCTTATCTAAGTCAGTCAATTTATCATAGATACCTTCCATTTTAGAATCTTTATGAATGTATTTGCGCATATGAAAACCAATTCATCTTTATACCTTGTTCCTCTAGTTTTTGTATAGATTTGAGTTCACCCTTTTCATTCAATATTTCACCATATCTAACTGTTTGTTCGTTTTTGTATATTATAGGACAAGAAAATGCTTCAATAGTCAATAGCCAGACTGGAATTTTCAAATA